CATCTAAAAGTAAAGCAAAGCAGAGTTCACCTAAGAACATACCACCCTCATGTTCAAATATATGGGAACGTTTGGTTAAAAATGATGCAGGTTTAATGGGCAGTATTGCCATTAGAGAAGATGAAAATAAAGAAACCGGCAGCTGTACAGATGGCAAAGTCAAAACACTGTTGACAGAAAAGGCTGCTCCTTCAGAGGCTGCAACTGTAAAGAAATCAAGAAAACCTGATATTTTAGTGTCTCTTCTTGAAGGAGAAACAGCATACCCAGTTAATCAGCATAAGGACTCTGTCAGCTTTAACTGTGGCTCAGTTAGTAGTCCTGATGAGGGTCAAGACAACTCCAAGAAACCTCGGGAGAAAGTACTTTCAGAGGCATCTGGTAATTGTTATGTGGAGAGAAGTTCTGATGCATTCCATGTATCATCATCATCATCATTATGTTTCTTTCACAACTGTGAGTGCCACAGAAACAGCAGTCTGGCTGATTTCTCAGACATGCCTGATGTTCCTGGTGAACCATTTTTTGTATCACTTTCAAAGGATGAGAACAAAGAGCTAAACATGGTGAAGACCTCTTCAGGAACGGTTAGAGTAGGGTGCAGTCTTCGCAAATTAGTAGATAAAAGCCGGAACTATGCTGAGACCTGCACAAAGCCTACATTGATCCCATCCACTGAAAAGTCCCGGAAGATGAGAATGTCTGCTGAACATAAATCAGGGAAGCGTTTGGGGCACTTCTCGTATGCTTCTGATATGAGATTCCATAAAACAAGTTTTGATGAATCTGATGATTCACTGTGGAGTCACCAAAGCAAGAAAACTTGTGACATTGAGTTACAAGATACAGAACAAAACAATACAAATACTGGACACTTTGGTCTAGAGATAAATAAAGAAAATGTTGAAAAAACATATAGTAAACAATTAAAGAATCAGAACATGTGCAAGAATGAATATGGTAGTTCAGAAAATGGTAATTCTTCATCAGAAATCACACCAGGCAAACATAAGGCATCAGCATTGACTGTCCTGTCAGAAAACAGATTAAGGAAGAGTGACTTTAGCACATCTTCGTACAGCAAGTGTCTGACACCCTGTAGATCCTCCCACTATCCTCTAATGAAAGAAATTCTAACCCAGCAGAGCTACTCACCCGTGCCGTCTGCAGCACCAGCTACAAAATATGTTGTTAATCCTTTAGAACTAAAGACTGAAAATTCTGATAAAAGATCCCTGAAATCTGTGAAGACACTGAAGCCGTCGAAGTCTGCAGTTTCTTTTACATCGGTGCTGGGCACTGACTCAGATTCTGAAAATAAGAGTGTAGTTAAAAGAAGTGAGCGGATTCGCTGTAAAAGTGGAGTCGAGAAACCGGTTAGTTTTGCACTTCACAAATCAGTGATTTCAACCATGAAGCCGATGGATAGAACATTTAGAGACAAAGCAAAACTTGCCAGCTTGAAACGGAGCTCTAAAATCACTTTTAATAGGGAGTCACAAAGAAAGAGTGGGAAAAAAATCATTGAAAATGTCAAAAAGGCCACAACGGTTAAGGATGTCCAGAAGGGCAAGGCTGCTATGTCAAGGGAAGTCATGGAAGCTATAATTCAGTCAATAGAGGAAACTGTTTCAGGTTGTGGTGGAGCGGAGAAAAGTGATGAAATTCTAGATTCTGTGCCTACAGAAACTTTAGTTACCTCTATGGATAATGTGCCTCACCATACCAATACATCAATTATTACAAGTCCATCCATGGATTTACTGAAGGTGGATCAATGGTCCGATTGTGTAAATGATCATACTTATGATATTAGTATAAACTCTGCTGATAGTTTGTATGGTTTGACAAAAAATCCTGCACGCCTTACTAGTACAATCAACAATGGATGCAACAAGACATCAGAAATGTTTAATTTAAATAATGCTGTTCGAAAAGCAAAAAAGTCAGCTAAAGCTACAGATAGATCCAAAGCACTGAAGGTAAGATCAGTCAGGTCTAAAGTCAAAACTGTGACAGCAGATACCGTTTTAGAAGATCCACCGTCATGTTTGTTTAGCAGTGCTGCAGACAATACAGGAACCAGTGATACAGACAGCACTAATGTTGCCCCGGCAGTCTACAGTGCAGGTAAGCGATTTAGAAAGAAGACAAGGAAAGCTAAGGAGGCTTTTGGAGATGATGATGTTTTCTCCGATGAGAACTGGTCCTTGAAGAAATGCAAGGCTAACACAAGGTAAGGGCAGTATAATTTTAGATATTTTTGCTTCTGCAAATAAGATGCCCTTAGTTCTTTTAGTCATAGGCAGGTATAATTTTTAATCATCAAATACTAAATATATGTTACTTAAAGTAAAACTGAGCCTGAACAGGTTCAAATAATAACACTTTCTGACAAAATGAGTTATAGTAATTTTTGGTATAGAGTGGGTGATTGTACCAGCTAAATGAGGAATAAGGAGTTAAGAAAAGCATATCATGGTGATAACCAGTAAAGGCAAAAGAGTTAACCCTGTCGTCCAGAATAAAACTGTTTTTCCTACATGTTTGAGGGTTTTTGATGACATGATATCTTTAGGCAGTGGCTACTAGGCTTGAAAAACAGCTTTGTCGCTGGCTGTAACTGAGTAGTTTGTAGACATTGTGGGTATGATTATGTATCAGTCAGTCAATCAGCATGTTCTTTACAGAACATTGCTCTCTTCACAGCATGCCTGAAAGTTTCTCTCTAGCCAGTTCTTCAGTACATCTTCAGTCTCCTGTATCCACCTCAGCTTTTGGGAGAGGATGCTGTTTATAAGCCAGTTCTTCTTGATGTTCAGATCTTGCAGAATGTCAAAGTTTTTCTCCTGAGTTCTAAGAATTTTCCTGTAGCATTTCATTTCCAAAATTTTTTTCTTCAAAAACTGAGTGGGAGTCCATGACTCACATCTATAAGTTGCTACATGATCTCAAAATTTTTACTTTAACTTACTTGCAGGTTTTTTTGCCACAGGGTTTTCATGTTTATATATATTTATATATATATATATATATATATATATATATATACACCCCCCCCCCAACCACCCAAAAAAATGCTGTGAGGTCATCATGACCTCATATGTTGTCACTTTGCTCTGCATTAGCTAAACAAAACCATGTTTATCATGCTCAAAGGAAAGGTCAACAGTTAATTCTTAGCTGGATTTGAATTTAGTGATTAATTTACCTTTGCTTACAAAACATAGGTTTGTATAAAAAATATAATAATAATAATAATAATAATTGAAATAAAATATTTTAGTAAATTTATAGCTGCAGTGTAGCTGTGGACTTCATACTTGCCTGCTGCTCTGTGGTCTAAGTGTTGGACCCTCTGTATGTTTATAACAAACGCTCAGTTTGCAAAAATTCTTCTGCTTCTTTTTCTTTTTCTAATTTGCTAGTTATTTAGAGTAGTTTCAGAGAATTTTAAGGATGCATTTCTTTTTAATGAAATTGTGGAAAAAGTAATTTTTATAGGGCAAAAGGTTAAACAAGTAAAGGGCATTATTTTGCCATATTATGTGTATTTTAAAATCTACCTTTTACAAAGTCCTTTGATAAAGTGTGGCATGCAACTGTGGGACAGAAGGGGTTAGACTTATAATTCACATACAAAGGATTAATTTGTCAGTGACAGAGTTTGAAATAAAACTCAATAGAGAACTATAACGCTCAAATTTGATCACCATTTGAGATTTAGTTAACACTTTCTCGATATGGCCTGGGAACTGCAGTAGGCTACGGGCTGAGTGCTCACCTACTGGCCCAAAGGTCTAGGATTCAAGTTCGCATCAAAGTAGATGTTTTTCAAACTTGACCTCAGCTACTAGTTTGACCCAGCCTAAAATTGGTACTTGGTAATATCTTGGGAAGTAAAGGCAGGATGTATGATGTTGACCACATATCAACCGAATGTCAGTTGACCTCTAAATGTATGTCTAACATTGACTTTACATTATGGCTATAACATAACTGACAAAAATCATATTATGGGAAAAACAAAAATATACCTACTACACCCCAAAAAATGTAGTGAGAGTCGACTAATTTGGGGTTTCAGCTGCCTGATAGACATGGAACCAACAATCTGCATAGAAACAAGTCAGATCTGTAAAAGCAGATGTGCTCGCAACACTCAGGTTCTGGAGGAGGACTAAACTCCAGAAGTGGACGGTCAACCAGAATTTCCCACCAGAGTTGGAAAGCCGGTGAACACGAAGAAGAAGAAAAAAAATGTACTGGGTAAGCTAACCTGGACAACAAATGCCTGCAGAAGTCAGATGTATCAGCCGAGTGGCACAGATATTGCAGCCATGCTGTAAAATGGCACCACGCAATTACATCTTTGGATGAACACAGAAAAAGATATTTTATCTTTAGTTTACACTTTCTAATTATGGCTATAATATAATTGATGTAATTCGTGTTTGTGCATCATTATATGTTGATGTGAATTCTATAGTTTGCACCTGACTTAACACAGTGAAATATTCCAGGCAGTACATTATGCAGTGCATTATATGTGTGTTTATCATTACATTAACAAATGGGATATTTTTAAGAGTTAATTTACACTTTTTCATTAAGATTATAATATTGATAAATAAGTTTTTGTCCCACTCGTATTGAGCATTGGGAGAAAACTAAACACATTCTAGTGAATAAAGAGATGAAGAAAAGACGCTGGCACTTGATAGGGCATACATTAAAAAAAAAAAACTGATAACATAACTAGAATGTCTTTACACTGGAACAAACAGGCAGATCAATAAACACATAAAGAAGGAAGTAGACATTAAAATTAAAAAGACCTGGGTGAGCTGTATACAATAGCAAAGGTTAGGACAAATTGACATGTGTTGGTTGAAGGCCTATGCTCCATTCAGGGGGGTTGGGGGAGGGGGGGGGAATTACAGGCAAGAGAAGGAGGAAACCTGTTTCACATACCCTCTAACAGATATTTGTCATCTCAGAAGCAACAGCACCAGCTCAGATTCCAGCAACAGTAGCAGTCAACGCCGACCTCGGCGATTAAGTCAAGTTGGCAGCATCACAGATCCTGTGCTGGAAGAGCATGCTTTCATACTCTGGGCCAGGTAGGCCTGTTGGATTTTTGGCAAATGGAGAAGTCATTAGTATACAGCAGGGCTATTCAACTGGGAGTCACGGTGGTCTAGCGCCTAGACCCTCGCCTGCTGATCGGAAGGTAGTGGGTTCGCTCCCAGGCGGAGCCGGAATTTAAAAAAAACCTTGCCTCCCAGGTCGACCCAGCCTTGAGTGGGTACCCGGTGCATTTCTGGGAAGTAAAGACGGCCGGCGTGATGCTGACCACATCACCCATCGTGTGCCGTTGGTCTATAAAATCTAGGTCTAACCCTATATACCCAATATGCCTGAAAGGCATGGAAAAGGGTCCTTTACTTTTACTTAGGGCTATTCAACAAAGTTGATTGTTGAAATTGGGGATCATCGCAGGCCAAAGGCTCAAGCCCCAGTATGTAAACATCATTAACACAGTATATCTGGCAAAGATTTGCGGCCCACTTGCTAGGTCTCTGCCGGCTAGATTCAACCCATGTACTGCCAGTTGAAAAGCTCTGGTATACAGATTTGGAATGTTTCCTTTTAATAATCACTCACTTGCTGTCTTCACAGGAAATGTTGAATGGATCTCCAAAACTCTACATTTCACTCTTAGACTTTGCCCATCTTATGATGTTTTTTCTCCCATTTGTATTGCTGTCTAACTTTTTGCTAAACTTTCTTCAACTTCGCCCTCTAACGTGGTTTTTGCTTGAGTTATCTCTTTTAACCCTTTATACCCGGTGTCGCTGAAGGCTTGGAAAAAGGTCCTTTACTTTAAAAAACAATTTAATATCTTTTAAAGTGGTTGAAATATTTCACTTGTCTGTTTTTTTAAATTGTATTTAAAAAATTTTTTTTTTTAAATTGGCATCTCTCTAAAGTCCCTGTAATTGATTATTGTTATGAGTATGAAATATGTTCTATTCTTCTGTAAATCAGCATCTCCAAAGCCTCAATTTGACTTTATTGCTTCATTTCTAATTTCTATTAAATGGCACTCTTTCTTTTCATTTGTCCGAGGATGTAACTGTATGTGCCCGTTTACAGCAGAGCTGTTATATTTGCATCTTTTGGCCTAAACTTCTGACTTGATTGAGCTTTTGTTGACCAGGATAACTTCCCAGAAAATGGCACATAAAGATTGACAATATCATTATTATGAGAATTTGGGCAAGATTAGCAGTTTGTGGGAGTGATAAATATTTTATTATTTCAGTTTTTACAGAATGCATATTTTGTGTAAATAACCAGTGTTTTATAATTCATGTTTAATGGTGTGCCAGTCTGTCTAAATATTCAACTTCTTTTAAATCAAGTTTAACAGTGTGCATAGTTTCTGTGAATGACCAGTGACTTATAATTCAAGACTGGCAAGATGCACAGTTTAAGTAAATGGTCAGTGTCTTATAATTTCGGTTTGACTATCATATGGAAGGATAACATCAGAGAAACTCTACAACAGCACGATGTGCCTATGGTTGAGGCGGCCAGAAGAGCTAGAAACAGAACCTTATATCTCCCTCGGCACCCACAGCGGTAAAAGAGGAAGTGAAGAAGAAGAAGAAGACTATCATACCAAATGATTCGTTACTCCTTCCTGCATTCTTGTTATTAGTTATATTCGATGTGAGTAACATGAAGGGAGGTAGCCGCCCAGATTTAGCAGCTAGACGCCACCTGCAGATCTGAAGGTTGTGGGTTCAGGTCCTAATAGAGCCGGACTTTTTTCAAAAATGATCTTGGCTCCTGGAAAGTAAAAGCAACTGATTGATCTATAAAATATTATTGCCAACACACATGGAGAGATGGAAAAGAGTCATTTTTTTTAAATATGAAAAGATATCTATAGCATCTAACCATTGCACTGCTCAATTTGATTAGGGTCAACAAAGGTTTATACACGCAACTGTTTAAGTATGCATGCATGTGTGTACATAAGATTGATGTAGAAATAGATCTCAATCAGGGTGTTTCATTTGCAGAACCCTGGGGTCAGTCAGATATGTTTAAGGGGTTTGTGATATTATTTACTTCTTCTTTTTCTTCATGTTCACTGGCTGTAAACTCCGGTAGAAAGTTCTGGTTGTTCATCCCCTTCAGAAATTGAATTTTGCATGCAAATCTGGTTTAAAGATCTGGCGTATTTGTTGGAAGACTTGGTTCCTTGCCTCTCAGGCAGATGCACTCCTACTTCTTAGGAAACACCTCTATCGGTCAAATTTTTTTTTTTGGAGGGGTGGGGGTGGGGGGGGGGGGGTGGGGGTAAGAGACAGTGGGTCTATTTTGTTTCTTTTCTCTCTTATAGGGCCCACACAGGAATATCATTTACAGAAATCAACTCTTAACTTTAAAATGCAATCTTTTTTTTGGCAATTATAAAATTTATAAATTAAAATAGGTTCTTCAGGGTGAATATTAAAATGTATGGGGCCAACGGCAGACCTTTGAAGATGAAAGGGGTCCGCAGGACTAAGCTAATTGGGAACCACTGAACTAGACTGTTACAACACACGCACACATACACACACATACACATACACAGTTTATCTAGTGGCGCGTTTTTATTAGTTGATAGGAAAGCCTGTACGCCTAATAATTATCAGTGACCCAGACGCAAAATAACTGTCAATTGATTGGTTGAACCCTAAGGTATTCTTATGTGCAGTTTAAACAGTTTCACTCTTTACAAAGATTTTGAATTACAAACATGACAACACAATATTTTTTTTAATAGCTATACTTTTTGTTGTTGTTGTTGTTATTGTTGACCGGTATAGATGAACACATAAATCAATAGTACAAAATGTTTGCACCTAGTGAGAACCGCAGCCAGCTGGAGCAGCAGCATCCTAGTGCCTCACCCAGTGAAATTGACACATTCTTGTTGCTGCGCTGGTGTGAAGTCGCTGACAGTCTCAAAGCCAAATTCTTTCTTCGGGCCCGTGAAGCTTTCAGTGACGATGAAAGGGACATGATTCGTTCTGGTTCAGTGACAGGTAAACACGTGAAATAAACTTGACTGTCGACTGAAAACTAACAGAATGAATACTTGATGAATATTGACCAGACTCATGTATTTGTCAATTTTAAAAAGTAAAGGACCTTTTTATTTATTTATTTATTTATTTTGTTTTGTTTCTTTTTGGAGACATATTCTAGTACCTGTATTTTTTTTTAAACTGCTTATTACTTTGTGGTGAATGCCAGGATTGGGAGTGGGAGGAGGTCTTTGAGCCTGAGGATTGAAGGCTACATGGCTAGTGCTGTGGCAACAGGCACAGAAAAGACGAAAAAACAATGAAATTACCTTATCAAGGATTCAGACCCAGGTCTCCTGCATGTTAGCCCAGTGTTTTTAACTGTTTGGCCAGCTACTCCTCAAAGGTAGACTAGGAACATTGAAAGACTTGTGATGAGAAATTCTAAGGTGGCTGCTCCTATGGGGCCGAGACTGCAGACTTAATCCATCAGTATGAAACCAGGACAAACTCTGACATGGTAAAGAATAGATGGATACTCCAGGAGACATATATAACCATTCTAAGGTTATCGCTCTAAGATACATAAAGAACCAAATTCCTACAGAGTGAAGGGTACTGATAGGTCAACATTCCCTTCCAGAAGACATCCACATCTGCACAGATGGGTCCGTCAAGCAAAGGTCAAGGTCAGCATGGGCATACATAGTGCAGAGCATGATGGGGAAAACAATAAAAGAGGATAGTGGCGCTTATCAGGCACCTATGTCAAACATGACCATGGAAATAACCACTACACCCACATGGTTTATATATCAGACTCCACAAACATGCTTCAGAAAATTGCAACAGGCAGAAAATTGCAACAGGCAGCCTCTGCTCTGAATGGGTAAAGCATTAAAAGATCAAATTATCCTCTTTCACCTGAATCCACACACCTGGGCATACCAGAGTCAGGGTAATAAATGAGTCACCAGCAGGGAGAGTAACGCACCATTGCATGTTGGCAGAAGTATGGACGTAGTTGATATCGCACTGTACAGACCCACTGCAAAGACATTCTAGTTATATTGCTCTCAGGTTTTCTCAACATGTGTCCTATCCATCACCTGCATCTTCTCTTCATTTGAACTTGTCATACCATTTAATTCCTTCTATTCTGTGCAGGCACCAGTTAATGAATGCTTGTAGTTTCTGAGTCTTAGCTCTTCTCCATATTTCTGCTAAATGCATCTGTACTGATTTGACATTAGAAACAAATTGTGTGTTTGTTTGTGTTTGTTTTAGTATCCAAAAGCCATGAGTTGTTAACCCTCAGGCTAGGTATCATGGATATCGCAACCTTTCGGTCTTGATTCCATTGTAAATACTGTAAATCTGGGAGAAATGTGGCTTTTCTGCCTACCCCCGGGAGTGAACCCGGACCACGAGGAGTTCATCACCCGGTCTCCGCGCAATCCGGTTTAGCCAACTACGCTAGAGAGCCGGGCAAATTCTGTGTTAGAATTAAATTTAATTTATTTTGATCTCCACAAATGTCCTAGTGCTGTGAAACTTCTCTTGCTTTTTGTATTCAGATTTTAATATCTCTATCAGTCCTCCTTATCTTCATCTACATTACTGCCCAAATAGGTGTATGACTTCACATTTTGGAATGGGATACCATTAAGAGAAATCTGGTTGCTCTTTGCCTGGTTTTTTTTCTCATTATCTGTGTCTTTCCCTTATGGATTTTTACACCTCGTTGTTGTGATCTCGCATGAAGTATATTTGTCTTGCATTTGAGTCAAATATGTAAAATATGATGTAAAATAGATGTGCAGGTTTTACAAAAAAAAACAATCTCCAGAAATAGACCAACAACCAGAACTTTCCACTGGCTGTGAGCAATAAGAAGAAGAAGAAGAGATGTGTGCAGAACCATACGCATGAACATTAGCCAGCAAAATATTTGTACCAAAAACTACAATGAATAATAACAGTGCTAGCATAATATCAAATCAAGTCAGTTAAGAATTTTTTCTGTTGCAGATCTGGAAGCTGGCATGTGTGTTGACTTCTTCAGTGACAGTGAACCAGTTTTCACAGACTTCATCCGTTTACCTATAGACAGGCAGCGGGACATGCTCCGGAAGTGGCTCAAATTCTTCCAGAAAACACTACCAAAGAAGGTAATATTTACGTTGGCTGTGCTTAAAGAATAAAATTCTTGTGGTTTAGTCATCTAACTTAGTTTGCCCAGTGCATATTTGAACCCATGACCTTTGGGTCGGCAGGTGAGTGTCTAGTCACTATGCCACCATGCCCTCATCTTCTGATGTAATCTAGAAAAAATCATTGAGATTTCCACTTTGTCTGGTAGAGCCACAGCTGGATGAGGCCCAATGCGGCTTCAGGGCAAACCGAAGTACTCAAGACCTTATCTTCACAGAGACAGATGAGTGAAAAAGCCCTTGAATATAAGAGTAAGATGCACCTATGTTTTTTGGATCTGGAAAAGGCATTTGACAAGGTACCCTGGAACAAGCTCTGGGACTGCTTGGCAGGGAAAGACATCCCAGCACCCCTGATCAGTGCAATACAGAGTTTCTACAAAAGCTGCAGAAATTATGTAAAAACAGCAGACCAAAAGTCAGAAGAATTTAAGACCACCAGCGGTGTTAGACAAGGTGATATTCTCTCACCTTACCTCTTCATTCTTATGATGGATGATGTATGTCATCAAGACCTGTAAGAAGACAAAGAAGTACTCTTTAAGGTACTGGAAAATGAGACCAATCTGTATATCAGAGCTGGCATTTGCAGACGATGTGGCCCTGATAGCTAAATCAGAGGCACACCTTCAGTCCAACTTACTTGTCTGGAAGGAAGAGCTTGAGAAGAGAGGGATGACCATCAGTATCTCCAAAACTAAAACCATGATGATCTCAAGAGAGGAGAAGAAACACCAGATCATGATGGGACAGTATGCATTGGAGCAGGTCAACCAGTTCAAATACCTTGGAGTTGTACTAGACCGAAATGGAGGTATCAAGACTAAAAATCGAGGGTTTCTTAGCAAAAGAGAAATTGGCAAGAGGATTTATTTATTTATTTTATTATCGATCACCGGCTGTGAATTCCAGTGGAAGGTCCCGGTTAATCGTCCGCTTGGACTTTTGGCTTTCACCTGGACCTGATTTTTGCATGTACAACCGTTTTTCATTTCCCTGCCTCATGGGCAGCTGTATTCCGACTTCGAAGGAAGACGTCAGGCCTATTTCTAGGTTGACTGTGGCCATTGTTTTGTGTGGGTCGAGACGTTGCCTGATTTGTGTGGTGTCCACTTTGTCTCCTCCGCAGGTATTGCCCTCGGAGTACCCCTTTGGGGCAGCCCCCTGTGGAACAGTTAGCCCTCAAGGGAAGGCAGGGGCAGATCATGGGCATTCCCCGCCATCCAAGGAGGCTTCCATGCATGCAGAGCCGGCACATGGCGCTCTGGTTCTGGGCTCACCCAAGGAATCGTCACGTCCTGCACATGCCTGCTTAACCTCACAACCGTATCAGGCCTCCCGCTCGACAGGGGCTGCGCCCTCTGGAAGTCAGCGGGGAGCAGCTCGTGGGTTTTGGACTTTTGTGACCACACAGATAGGTACATTCTTTTTTCTTCGCACATTAGATTTCTTTGACGAGCCGTTAGCCCGACAGAATTTTACATCCTGCATCAGGCATATCGTTATCAGTTTTGTCCCAACACTCGGGCGAGTGGGGTCTTTGGGTGTGGACATTCGGTCTTTTTCAGTTCAATACAAATTTTGATGGTCAGATTTTGATCCGTATGATCTAGTTTTGTCGGACAATTGGGGTGGTTGCTGTTGTGGTGTACCTCAGCGCGGTGACGACGACACTGGGGGTTAACCGAGGATGTACAAGGATGGCCAGCCTATGGATGGTTGCTGTTGTGGTGTACCTCAGCGCGGTGACGACGACACTGAGGGTTAACAGAGGATGTGCAGTGAACAATGTTCTCTTTACTCCGCAGTCTTTTAACCAAGGGTTGTAATTTTGGCTGTATGTTTGGCAAACCTACTCATGTTCCTAATGAGTTTTGATAACATTTTTCACCCAAGCGTTTGGGGGCGGGCTGATGAGAGCGGGAGGTTCCGTACAACCAGGATAGTTAAGGACTGGCGCCCGAGTGACGTACGGAGTATCTCCTTATACACATCATGTTGGACTTAACTTCCCCTCACGCCTGTGACATAAATCACCGCGCCACGGCAAGAGGATGAAAATGGCTGTTTACCGCTCTACCTATGTACCAGTCCTGACCTATGGGTGTGAGTCATGGGCAATGACAACAGCTCACAGAAGCCAGCTTCAGGCCTCAGAAATGAGAGAGGTGGTCCAAGTGACAAGAAAGGACAAAGTCTGCCATCTGTCAATACGTCAAGATCTTGATACCCAGTCCTTACAAACCCGAGTGGATCAGTCACAGTTATGATGGTTTGGACATGTATGCAGAATGGGAGAAAATCAGGGGGGGGGGGGGGGTTGGAAATAGGCCCACTGCCTCCCTACAAGGGTGTTTTAAAAAGCAACAAAAAAGGTTTTGCTGAAATCAGTTATATTGAAAAAAAAAATCATGAACATAAAATGGGATGAATCTAAAAAGAGTGAGGAGATAATGAAAATCTGTGCAGTAGATAAACAATTATCCCCAAAAACTTGTGGCATCAATTGAACTGTTGCAATGGCGTTTTTTCTGAGTTTTAAACAGTTAGTTTTATGCTTTTTGCTCCATGCTGATTTCGTAACTAGGTCAATAAAATAGCGGCTTGTTTGTCATCAGCTTATCAGGCGGCGATGCAAAGTTGCAAGATCATAGATGAAGGTTGCCTCTTTGGATTCAGTGCTTTTCTTCATAGATGGCACATTTATTTTGGCCGTAATAAAATCAGTCTCATTACTTCATTGTCTGACCTTGTATCTGGACAAATACCGGTATCAACTGTCAAAGGCAGGAAAAGGGTCCTATACTTAATTTTTTTTTAAACACAAATGTATTTGTCTTAGTTGAACATAAAATGGGAAGAATTCAAGATATAGAAGATAGTGATGTATTGGACACATTGTGAGAAGAGAGGAACAGAGAATCACCAAACAGGCACTGAAATGGGAAATAGAAGAACTAAGGAAATAAGGATGTCTTAGAGAAACTCTAAGGTGAACGTGGATGAGAGAAGCTAAAGGTGCTAAACTGGATTCCATCAATGATATCAAAGTGATTGCACTGAATAGAATGTAATGGAGAAATAGACTGAGCCGTATGTGACATTTAATATTACAGTAAGACAGTTAATGAATTAACATGTTCTAGTTACACAAAGTGACTTGTAGGCTGCATACTGTTATTTAATATGTCTAATTTCAAAACTTCCTTTTATTAGGAGTACATTGACTTCATCATCACCTTTAAGCGGGCATGTAACAGAGACTCCAGGAACCCTTCAGGCAGATCCAAGAGAACCCGAATGAGATGCTTAGATCCATCCTACTACAAGATGCTCTTTGATATGATTCGGGTTACAAAACCCAGAGTGCTAGAAGTGTTTAAGCTTAAACAAGACAAAGAGAAGGCTGCACTGTCTGACGCTTACAGGTTAGACTTTGAGAGGCATTTCAGTCACCAATCTTTTTTCTTTTTCCTCATCATCAGCAACATCATTTTCTCTTCCGTCAATTTTTCCCTCTTTTCCACCTCTTTCTTTCCCGCCACCCAACTTTTTCTCTTCTCCTCATTCTTTCTTTCTTTCTTTCTTTCTTTCTTTCTTTCTTTCTTTCTTTCTTTCTTTCTTTCTTTCTTTCTTTCTTTCTTTCTTTCTTTCTTTCTTTCTCCTCTTTATTTCTTTCTTTCTTTCTTTCATTTCTTCTTTCTTTCATTCCTTTTTCTTTCTTTTTTTCTTTATTTATTTCTTCTTTCTTTCATTCCTTTTTCTTTCTTTCTTTCTTTCTTTCTTTCTTTCTTTATTTCTTTCTTTCTTTCTTTCTTTCTTTCTTTCTTTCTTTCTTTCTTTCTTTCTTTCTTTCTTTCTTTCTTTCCTTCTTTCTTTCTTTCTTTCTTTCTTTCTTTCTTTCTTTCTTTCTTTCTTTCTTTCTTTCTTTCTTTCTTTCTTTCTTTCTTTTCCTTTCCTTCTTTCTTACTTTAACTTTCTTTTTGTGTGATCTTTCTTTCATTTTTCATCTTCTATTTTATTAGTATTTCTTTTGGTATTTATTTTATCAAAAATGATACAAGGAAATGTTCTAGGAAGCAACTGGAGTTTCAGTCATCATATAAAGATTGGAACAGTTTCCTTTATTATTTTTTTAAAATGTTTCTTGTAAGGGAATCTGTTGAAATGGAGCTATCCATTTTAGAGCTATACATATATATATATAGACAAATATATATATATATATATATATATATATATATATATATATATATATATATATCCATGCATTTTTTCTTTTGTCCATCTTTTGCTTTCTGCCCCCGGGCATTAATAGTTAACAGGACATGCTCGGTTGCCTGGTATGCAATGAGGTATCAGCAACTTCTTTAATCCAAGTTCTTCTTGGTAATCCCATATCTCTTGGTGTTTCTACTTTCATGTTGTATGCTCTCATTGGCTGGCATCATTGGATTCATCATCATTAATTAGCCAAACCATTTTACTCTTTCGTTTTCAATTAAATAAATTATAGGTGTTGTTCCAATAGTTCTTGTAATTTTTTTGTTTCTCACATGATCTCTTCTAGTTTTGTTCATGGCTTTTCTTGAACATCTCATTTCACAGGTGGTCAATTTTCTTTCATGTTCTTTAGTCAGTGTCAAAGTCTGACACTGAAAGCACAAGGCTGATGTGAAGATTTGCCTTTTTTGTCTCTATTGGATGGCAGGGTGTTTCAAAATTTAGGTCTGTTCATGCATGACCTTGTTGATGTTGGATTGCTTATCTACTCATTGAAAAGCAGTAACAGATAACTGTCTTTACTGCCCATATTTACCACAGTATAGGGCAATGTAGGATAAGGAGCTTTGAGCTTGGGTATTTAGAGCTGCAATTGATAATCAATGTCTGCTTGAAGTGTGTATTTACCTAATGTTTTAAGTATAAAGCTCATTCATTTGAAACCCTTTTCAGTGGTTTTATTACAAAAGTTTGACAGAAGCATCAAGCAGAATTTAAGAAACATTTATTTTGAATTAATTATGCACTATGCATTGGTTAGAAAAAGTTGTAGGCTGTCAGGTGAACGAACATACCATTGCTTAGACAGGCGGTGAATGTTGTCTGTGCTCAGTAAACCAAGTGTTTACTGTGTTTATGTCTGCTTTAGCGTGAAATCATTGCCCTTGGAGAGCTCTTTTTAAGAGGTCTGAACAAATGAAAATCACTTAATAACAAATCAGGACTAGGTTGCATGTTGCAGAATGTCTTATTTCTTCCATGCTAATGCTTCCTGCAAAATCTCTGCAACATGCGCACTAGCATTATCATGCAACAAAGTCTCACTGTGAGAACATATTCTGTGGCGTTTATTCTTGATGGCTGTAAGGAGCTTGTCTAGTGTTTCCAATTAATTGGCAGAGTTAATGTTGACACCAGGTTCTTTAAAGTCTGCCAACAGTAGCTCTGTATGGTATAAGAAAGCCTTACCAGCAGAAACCTGTAATTTTTTTTTTTTTTGGTTGTCTTTTGGTGATCTAGCATGCATCCAGTGCATGCTGTCTCTTCTGCTGCTCAGTTCAAAGTGGTGACACCATGATTCATTGCCTGCCACTATGTGGAAAAGAAATGAACCAGTCTCCGTTCTGAAATGGTTCAAATACTATCCCATGTGTTCCTCCTTTTAATGGCTGGTCAACATCCATAGTACCCAGCAATATTGCTGTTTCTTATGAACGACCTCATCAGATTCTTTTGCTAACCAACATATGCTTTGACAACTGCTCATCTTTATTGCTGTATCAGTTGTGGCAGAAGCTTTTTTCTGCTGCAACAACATGTGTTTGACCTGGCTGTTGAAGATCTTTCATGAACTCACTTCCTTTCTGAATCATATATGCCCAGTCTGTCACTGTTGTCTTTGATGCACATTTGTTACTGTACGCTGCCTGCATTCTTCAACAGATGTTTTCTAGTCGACATTCTTCAAATCAGAGAAACTGAATTACCTCTCTTTGTGCTTCTTTAGACAAATTTTAGTTCAACCTACGTGTTTTCTCAAAGATCAGAAACAACATTTTAGATCGAGCTACCTGTTTTCTCAAAGATCAGAAACAACATTTCAGATCTACCTATCTATTTTCTCAAAGATCAGAAACAATTTGTTATCATGGAATGATAAGCGAGTGCTGTTTTATTCATTAGTCATGTCTAATCAGATGATTGTGACATGATCATGCTCAACAAACGCAATTACAGTCAGTGCAGCATGAGTGGGTTGCAAAAGAATTCTCTTTATGTTTTTAAATGTTAATTAACTGTTTCATTTATTCCACACACCCAGCACAATGCTTCTGAAACTGGTGAACAATGAACCAATGACACCCTTAGAGCCTGGTAGCAGATCTCAGGCTCTGACAGAAATACTGCAAGATCTAGGCATAGCAGACAACCTGGATGTTTCCTTTAGTACCGGAGTCTGCTGCACATCATTGGACAGTTCTGTTGCTACTGGAAGCAGTGATCAGGACATGAGCGATGCAGTTTGTAAAGAGGAAGCTAGAAGTGAGGTGGATGCTTCATTGGCTTCTCATGAATGGAGGACAGTGGCTGATATTGTCAACAAGGTTGGTAACACTGATCTGTCGTTTCTATCTGTCTTCATATAGACCAGGAGTTTTCAACCTGTTTTTTCCAGGTACCCCCACCCCTACCCCTGAATATATTACAAGACTCCCCACATCCCTACCCCCAGTGACACTGTGACACTCTGCGGATTTCATTTAGAATGTGTTTTCGACTGTAACCAACGTGGTGGTGTAAATTGTAGATTCAGAAAATGGCGCTGTGCCTGTTATCGCAATTTTGGTGGTGCCCGTATGTGATTAAAATTGATCGCGTGGGCAACTGCAGATCTGTTGGTGACTTCTGCTACCATCAATGATGAACTGCATTTCTAATGTCGGACTGTTTGTGTTAGCACTTCGGATGGCTACCATATGCTTTAATGCGAGTGTATGTTAGATATGCTGAGACAGCAGTCTGTCAATCCTTCCACAAGGGACTGTGATAAACATTCTGTGTGTTTTTCGTTGGCGCAGGAGCGGAGCAAAGATGGGGTGACCCGTTTGCTATGAAGCTGAAACTAGGACTACCAGACAAGGGGCTCACTTTGAATAAAATACATGATATATCTTCAACTGTTGATTATTTTTATTTTTATGGAATTAGTTTCATTACTTAATTGTCGGACCTTGTATGATGCTTGTGCTCTTCGAATATACATACATGCATACACGCACACACACACACACATACATATAGTATATGACCCTTTTCCATACCCTAAGGTGCATTAGGTAAATAGTGCTAGACTTCCATTTTATACGCCAGTCAGGACTCCATGGTGATGTGGTCAACATGCTGGCTGCCTTAACTTCTCAGGACCTTACCTGATACAAATTTAAGCTGAGTCGGCCTAGGAACGAGGATCTTTCTTTTGTTTTTTGGAGAAAGAGAGAGAGCGAGAGAGCATTATTTGCTGTCACCCTTCTTTTATGCATGTACTTCTGCCTCCTCCACACACTTCTTTTATATATGTACTTCTGCCCCCTCCACACACTTCTTTTATGTATGTACTTCTGCCCCCTCCACACACTTCTTTTATGTATGTACTTCTGCCCCCTCCACACACTTCTTTTATGTATGTACTTCTGCCCCCTCCACACACTTCTTTTATGCATGTACTTCTGCCCCCTCCACACACTTCTTTTATGTATGTACTTCTGCCCCCTCCACACACTTCTTTTATGTATGTACTTCTGCCCCCTCCACACACTTCTTTTATGTATGTACTTCTGCCCCCTCCACACACTTCTTTTATGTATGTACTTCTGCCCCCTCCACACACTTCTTTTATGTATGTACTTCTGCCCCCTCCACACACTTCTTTTATGCATGTACTTCTGCCCCCTCCACACACTTCTTTTATGTATGTACTTCTGCCCCCTCCACACACTTCTTTTATGTATGTACTTCTGCCCCCTCCACACACTTCTTTTTATGTATGTACTTCTGCCCCTCCACACACTTCTTTTATGCATGTACTTCTGCCCCCTCCACACACTTCTTTTATGTATGTACTTCTGCCCCCTCCACACACTTCTTTTATGTATGTACTTCTGCCCCCTCCACACACTTCTTTTATGTATGTACTTCTGCCCCCCTCCACACACTTCTTTTATGTATGTACTTCTGCCCCCTCCACACACTTCTTTTATGTATGTACTTCTGCCCCCTCCACACACTTCTTTTATGTATGTACTTCTGCCCCCTCCACACACTTCTTTTATGTATGTACTTCTGCCCCCTCCACACACTTCTTTTATGTATGTACTTCTGCCCCCTCCACACACTTCTTTTATGTATGTACTTCTGCCCCCTCCACACACTTCTTTTATGTATGTACTTCTGCCCCCTCCACACACTTCTTTTATGTATGTACTTCTGCCCCCTCCACACACTTCTTTTATTGTATGTACTTCTGCCCCCTCCACACACTTCTTTTATGTATGTACTTCTGCCCCCTCCACACACTTCTTTTATGTATGTACTTCTGCCCCCTCCACACACTTCTTTTATGTATGTACTTCTGCCCCCTCCACACACTTCTTTTATTGTATGTACTTCTGCCCCCTCCACACACTTCTTTTATGTATGTACTTCTGCCCTCTCCACACACTTCTTTTATGTATGTTTTTCTGCCCCCTCTAGTTGTGTTGCCACCCCCCCCCTTTCCCCCCCCCCCCCAAGTTTCAGTTTGGAACCCAGCTGGAATAAAATATTATATCACATTAATTAGTTGTGTTGCTATTTTTTACCTCTATTCCAGGTACCGGTAACATTGGAGATTAAGGCTGCATTTAGAAATGATTCCTGCTTTGACGAGAGTGACTACAGTCTTCTCAGCTGTGACTTGGCTCTTGGTTTGCTGTCTGGTTTAAGCGGGGTGAGTTCCAACATTTGGCAATATCACATTTTTCTATGACATGGTGTTAATGTTGTTAATTATGTTTTCTTGCACACTTTCTGATTCTGTGAAATATTTATTTTTGTCTGATATAGTTAAATACTTCAGTCCTGTCATGTTAATGTCCATGACCTAAAGAGGGGCAGGTTTTTTACTTGTACCATGTCTAAAGCCATTTGGCCTCTGCTTTACAAACACTGATCAGACTAATTGTCCAATGGGGCTCTAAAATCTAGAGTACAACTAAAAGAGACAAAGCCTTTTTACAAACATTTGAGAACAGTCTTACAGCAAATTTTGGACCCATCACATATACAAACAGTGGAGAATGGAGAGTGAAAAGCAACAACATATTTGATTATCTGTTTAAATCACCACTAATTACCGGCATAATTGGGACTGCTATACTACAATGGTTGGGGCCTATAAAGGGAATGAAAGGTAACAGAGAGACATCATGGCGTACTGGCTCGCTGACCTCGCTCAAGCAAGCAACTTGCCTCGCCAGCTTGGTGCTAGCATCCAGACTCACCAACTAGTACGCATTATCGATAGACTCTGAGACTGTTGGTAGCATTCTGACTGTCCTTTTTAGGATTGTTTAGTCAGAACACTGGTACCCTTCAAAGACCAAGCTATTGAGATGGCAGGACAAAAGAAAGCCATAAAGCAACCTGCCACGTCTAACCAGATAACCACAATGATTGAGAAAAGCAAGCCAGTTTCAACCAAGCAACCAATAAATGGACAGATGAGTTGAAAATTTAGAAATGCTTCTAAGTAGACCAGGTCCAGAGGTTCCCCCATATATCTAGCCTTTAGCTGGATATCAACTGTGAGAAATCCAAAGAGGAAATTAGAAAAGCTGTCAATCTTCTCAAGGAAGGAAAGGCGGCAGGCCCAGATTGTATCCCAGCTGAAGCCATCAGGGCCAACATTAGCACATCAACAGAATTGCTACATAAATTATTCAGTAAGGTTTAGGAGACCGAAGAAATACCAGCAGACTGGAGAGAAGAATATCTTGTGAAATTGCCCAAAAAAGGTGATCTACAGGAGTGTGAAAACTATAGAGGAATTATATTGCTGTCAGTTCGTGGAAAAATATTAAGTAGAATTATTTTGGAAAGATTAAAAGATACTATTGATAAAAAGCTAAGAGATGAACAGGCAAGTTTTCGGTCAAACAGATCCTGTACTGACCAGATAGCCACATTATGCATTATAATAGAGCAAAGCATTGAACTGAACGTTACATTGGATTTATAGACTATGAAAAAAGCATTTGACAGAATTGATAGGAAATCTCTCTTGAAATTAATGGGGCACTATGGAATCCCACAGAAAATTATTAACTTAGTAAAGGCAACATATAAAGACATGAAATGTCGAGTTCTTTATGAGGGAAAGCTAACAGATACATTTGAAATAAAAACAGGTGTGCGACAGGGATGTCTTTTGTCGCTTCTCTTAATTTTACTGGCTATAGACTGGATTATGAAAACAGTAACTGCTAACACCAAGAATGGAATTCAGTGGACCCCTACAAAACAGCATGATGATCTGGACTTCGCTGTTAATATTTCTCTTCTGTCCCATTCACGGAATCAGATGCAAGACAAATTAAATATACTTGATGTGAGATCACAGCAGCTTGGTCTGAAAATCCATAAAAGAAAGACAAAGATGATGAGAATAAATCAGGCAAATAGTAATGTGGTTTCGCTTAATGGCACCCCACTCCAGCTCGACCCAGTTCTTCTCAGAACTCAACCATGAGGGATCGCACTTATGATGAGACCAAATTAACGGCAATGATCATACCTCTGCTGGAGAATCTGTAGGGGAAACAAAGCATTGCCTGAGTCAAGAAAATGGCATCTGTCATGCATTATCACCACTTAAAGAATTTCAACTACCACATGAGATCAGAGTAGCAACCAGCCTGCATTAAAGCATCAAGAAGTAGGTGATAAAGCGAGTCACCACACAATTATCAGATGAACAGATCCAGGAGCAACTACAGTATGGGAGAACCCAGGAACAAAAATTATATCAAAGCAGAAAGACTGACTTCAGGAGACAAACCAAATGAGGCAGTGGTCATCAGCAAAGTAGAAAACAGACCTGAAGACATTACCTTAAAAAAAAGCAGCAGAAGATGGAAGAATGTATCCCCAAGTTGTGCAGTGCTTCCAGTGCTAGAAAGCTTTTCATTCAAGAACAGCCTGCCGCTGCAAATCTAAAAGTTTGTAGATATTGCTCGGAAGCTCACTAATTTAAAGACTGTCCAATTGCTATGGCCAACAACGACTTCAAAAACCCAAACCCTAGCAGAAAGTGTGCCAATTGTTCAATCGCACACAGAGCTAGATACTTTGGCTGCCTGTACCTACAGAAATGTGTGATCACACCCAAGCCAGCTATCTGCGTCAGACTGACCAAACAGAACGAGACATAGAGGAATATGGCAGCCAATGAAGTCACAGGCCAGGTGAAGACCAGTAACCAAGGCCAGCTTGACACATGGAAAGAAATCATTTCAAACCTGCGAGCAGCAGTGATAGAGGATGATGTGCGCAGACAAGAGGATGCGAAGGAAAGCCGTGATAGAGCTCAGAGAATTTCATGACATCACAAAAAAAGTCGCCCTGCTAGCACAAGTTAAAACTGAAGCAGAAGCTGCAAAGACAGAAAAAAAGAAAGAAAGAAAGAACTGCTACAATAAAAAAAAAAGGAAACTCATCCAGCAAACCCACAGAGAAACCAAGTACCAGCAGCGACAGAAGTTAAAGCTCTGAAACAGAAGGAGTAGTCGACAAAACCCATAAAAATGACAGAACAAAGAACAGAAATCGAAGAAGCAGTGACAAGGAGAAACCTGCTGAACCGGCTAATGAAGACACAAGTACACTTAAACTAGTCAATCGCATCATGCAACAAGAAGACAAAATAGAATTGCAAAAAGAAATCTACCCCCGCAGGGAAAAGTGGACAGAAGAAAGCTGGAAAACTTATTGTGACGACACAGGAGAAGCAGCAGGAATCCAGAAACTCCAAGCTGAAGAGAGGAAAATAAATACAGAGTGGGAGGCCAGGCACAAAGGATGGGTGAAGGTTGACACCAAACAAGACAGGCACCAGCATCACAAGAAAGAACCTACTGGTGACCACACACGAGCTCCATGAAAACTGCAGATGACACAGAAGCAAAAGAAACCCAGCTTGACGAAACCAGGAGCAAGGCAAGCAGCAAGCACAGAATCAAAAGCCTGAAAACAGTCCTTTTAAGGACAGCACAGCCCCAGCAAAGTCGGCCCAGGCAGCAAAAGACATGTTAAGTGAAGAAATAAAGACATGGGTGTAATTGCACGCCACAAAGAAAAAGAATTCAAATAAAAAAGCAAAGAAAGCCTTCCTCAGTATAACTGGGTGATGAGCCAGATGAAAGGAGCAAATTTGACATTTTTTGTGTGCTTTCTACATATCAAATCGAATCAGGGAGACGAAACCTCCATACAAAAGAACTGAATTCGAGTAGGCTGAGAAGAGGATGGAGAGATAATATTCAGGCTGACGTACAAACTCTTGAGGTCATCAGTTGGAAAGTAGCCAGTCTGAGAGATAAATAGAGGAGGCTATGACATCTACAGCAGTAACTCTCAAGGGCTCAGAAGGTGGAAGAAGAAGAAGACTGTTTCCCCACACATTGAAACAGATAAGAAAACAAATAACAGATTGCACAGTTTATTGCCTGGCATATAGATATTGCAGTTAAAAAGGTTTTAATTTTATGCCTCATTTGATTTCATTCTGCTGCTTTTGAATGCACTTGGAGAAATACAGCAAAATATCACATAAATAATCACAATGGGGAACCTTGAGGCCGTAGAAGTATTATATATATATATTAAACAAACAGACAATGTTTTAGGCACAATAACATATCCTGCTGTGCCGTCAATGCCGCATAGGGTTCAGTGTCTCGCCCTCTGTTTCGCTCTACCCTGGGCAATCCTTTTGATATCATGGATATCGCCGTGTGGGTTCTGGGAAAACAAGAATAGACCCACTGCATACCCAAAAGTATGTCGTAAGAGTCGACTCATTGGGAGCTTCCTTTGAAATTGGAGTGCATCAACCGAGAGGCAAGGACCAGCAGTCTGCATACAAATGAGTCAGATCTGTAAAACAGAACACATGCAACACTGAGGTTCTGGAACAGGACTGCAGTCCAGAAGTGGACGAACAACGAGAACTTTCCCCCGGAGTTTACAGCTGGTGAACGCGAAGAAGAAGAATATCCTGCATGGAATCCAGTCCAATACCTTTGGTTTCAAGCAACCTATGCCAGCCAGTAAACTGTGTAACCTGTTGTTTGTGTCTTCTTTGTTCAAACAACTAAATTTGATCGGATTGCAAAATACTCTTTTTTTTTCTTCTGAATCTGTCATTACATAAAATACTTTTTGACTTGTTTTCTGTTCACACTTTTAAAATATACCAGAGTCATTTAATGGAATATTTTACCTTCTCATTTTCTTTGACAGATCAGTGAGTTGCCTGTTCTGGATCAAGACATGCTGGACCAAGTATTTCTGGCTCCCCCACGCATGTCAGCATCATTCAATCAGCTGAAACGAACAGTTAACCTTTATGGCAGATGCCTAGAAAACCTGCCACAAACTCCAGCAACAGTGGCAAATCATTCCTCATTACATGCACCTCCTTGCTTGCCACGTCTTCTACCTACTGACCAAATGTCTTATCCAAAAATAAACATTCAGTATTCACCCTCAACATCTGCCAGTATTGTTCATCAGCTGCCAGTTAGACACAATAACATTCTTCCACATAAATACACCAGACGGGACACTTGTGATGCCTCTACAGTTCGAGGAGGCTGGTACAGGAAAAATTCACCAATGGACATGCATACATACAGCACCTCAATGGAAAACATGATGCAGAGTCCCACA